GCAAACAAGAGAGGAATCCAGAGGCTCCATTTGGCCAAACTTACTAGAACACAAGGAACAAAAGGTCAGATTCAAAGGTGGTAAGGTGTCAAAACCCACAAATCAGTGTGTCACCGTGGAGAGTGAGAAATTATGGAGCCGTGAGAGAGTCAGGGAGAAAGACCAAATATATACTTAGACCAAGAAAAATTACAAAACAGAGGGAGGCAGATTGTGAAAAGCACTAAATTTGTAATCTACCCTCCCTTCAGGGACGCAGTGCTGAACGGCCTCCAAAAGATTGTGAGCTTTTCTGAACAAATAGCTGACATGCTTCAGAACACAAGTTGTTTATCTTGGGTTGCAGTGCTGTAGAGAGAGTGGAGGGATGCTGATACAGGCTTGGGGGTAGATGGTGGGGGGTGGCAGGGAAATGGACAAAAGAATCTGACATTGTGCAGAAAATAAAAAGGGACTTTCTGATTGTTTTGTAAAACATCGGGAAACCGAAAGTAGAGAAGACTGAGAGAAACCATCCAGTGACTTTAGAGACTTGTAAGCAGGGCCTGATATGTTGCTTTCAGGTATCTAATGGCTCAGTTCATGTTTAACTTGAGATACAATAGGTGTGTTTGCTTTCTGGATGTCTTTACCGTCATAGAATTTTAATGTAATTATATATAGGCTTGCATTAAAAACAGCATATAATAACTTTCTGCAGGTTATGTTTTATGTCTAAAGTGAATTGTGGATTTATTTCACAGTTAAGAACCAATTAACTGTTAGCAATAACTTGGATAGTGTTTTGATATCCAAACCTTCTATTGAAAGCAAATTTCTCCATGAGTTGGATCAACAGTGCTGAATGGACTTTGGTTTGTCACTTTCTTTCTTTTTTACTGTAACCAATTGATCCTAATTGTTTGGAAATAGCGTGGTAATGATCCAGAGATAGAGTCATGTGATGCATCTGGTACATACACTCAGCCAAGTGAACCGGAGGGTAATATGGAGTAAAACCAGACCAGTACTGCCAACACCCTCTGCTTGAGGGGGAGTGTGGGCAAAGGTGGCAACAGCAGACAACACAGACCAAATACAGGCCTAGTCTCAAACACAGATCCTGCTTGTTTGGGCCACCCTGGCAAGATTCATACCAATGCAAATTTCTTGTGCTGCACATTGAAAGGCCTCTTCTGAAGGAGAATCATTTTAATCCTAAACTTATATTAACATCATAAGATTTGATTCAAAAAATTACTTTGAAAATATTTATCTAAATTGTAACTTGTGCACATGTTTGCTTCATACTAAGAGAAAACAACTAAATCCGCCATACACACTGCAAAAAATGTAAATCTAACAAAGTTAGATTAGTTAGTCTGAAAATAAATACATATTTTTTCTTGAATTAAGCCAGTAAGTGGAATAAGATAATTTACATTTAAAATAAAGAAAAAACTGCTTTCTCTTATTCCATGTGCATAATATGTAATTATCTTATTTTAAGCATAAAATGCTAATTCCATTGGCAGATCATCTTATTTTCTTACTCAGATTAAGAGTAAATACATTTATTTTAAGAACTATTTACTCATTTTCAGAACATTTTGCAGTGTAAAGCATGCTAACTTCAGGTTTATGTTTGACCATTATGTTTGACCATTTGACCTTGAAAGGAAAGCATATCCTGATTTTTTGACTGTCTACCATACAAACAGATTAGAGATGCGGATAAAGCAGTTTCAGTTCTACAGCTGTTTGTCACCAAACAATAAGTTCACGTACCGGGGATGAGGTTCTTCACAGACTTTCTAAAGCGAGATGCACTTCAGTGAACAAAATCACTGTTATATGAAAGAAAATGACCCAATCCTCTTAATGGTCAAGGTCCATTTTCAGGAGCTACAGCAATCTATTATAAACACAACGCTTTCCATGTGTCTATACTTTTGTACAAAATATGATTTCTCTTCAAAAAGCTAAAAAAGCTTATGACTCAGATCAGAGGAGTGTTTTTCTGTTTTGCACTTTCCCAATTGTGTCACAGTCAGGAAGCAGGAAGCTGCTGTAGCTCATTCCCAGGCAGACCTTTGAGGATCAGGATGGGGATTCTATTGCTGTTGATAAACGTTTTTTTCCTGTTGGACGCTTTAGTGTGAAACCATTTCCATTTGCACTCAAGATTGTTCTTGTTTGAATAAGAGTAACAGCAGCAATTTGGGGAACAAATAATATGTAGATAATGTATTCCTCTAAGGTGTGACTTAAGTTTTAGGCATTCACTAAATAAATTAATAGCAGTTCCTCGTGATCTGTTTTACTTTATGAAGGGGGAGCGTTGGACTAGTGGTTAGAGCAGTGCACTTGTGCTCTGAGAAGGTTGCATGTTCCTGGTTCGATCCCCACACCCTGCACTCTGGGTCTCTAAGCAAGACCCTTAACTCCACACTGCTTCCCAGGCACAAAGGTAGCCCACTGCTCCCCAAGGGGATGGGTTAAATGCAGAGGTGAATTTCTCCAGCGTGAGAATAATAAAGTTCAATTATTATTTTAATCAATTGAAAATCCCCTCTTTGGCATAAATGTGACCTTTTTGTGGTGTTTGTTGGTTTGAGGTTTCATTTAGGTCTCTGTTTCATAATTTCAACACTATTTATATTCTCTTTTGCTGTTTTCTGTTGCTCCTTTTTTATTTATTCTTCCGTTCTTTGTTCATCTAAAGTCATGGAAGTTAGATTTTCCTCTAAGTATTTTATCATCTCTGTTCAGTTCCTTTGTTGATCAGTTTAATCTTCTCAGCTCCCTGCTCTCCCTCTGCCTTAGTTGTTCTTCATTTTTAACATATTGCTCTCATTTGCATTCTATGCCTTCTCCACGTTTTCTTTTGGGTAAAGCTCTTTAGTTTTAAGTATTCACTGTGGGATTCTTCCATTTAACTACCATTGTTCATTGATGTATTTCCTGTATCTCCCTGCCCTGTTCTTTTTGTTCAAACCAGCTACAACAAACATTGGATCTATTGGATCTAAGCATACCAATGGGGTTCTGCAGATTTTCGATTGATTGGCTATTACATCTGCACATTATGTCATACCTAATTGGAGCTACTTATAGAAGGCTAAAAAACTAGAGAGATTTTCTCATTATTGTGTTGCCAAATAGCAGCAGTAATACATTTAGATGTGTCTTTATTCCGTACATTGAAACCCTAATTGAGCGTTTACAAACTGCTTTAAAACAACAGATGTTCAACAAGGTTTCATCAGGAACTTGAATAAAAACTTTACCTGAAAATTGCACTATAGTTCATATGCATGAAAACCACTGAATATTGAGCTACAGGCTGGTTGCTGGATATTCTTTGTTAATTTGGGGCCTCAAAAGATCAAGTTTAAATAGACTTTAATATGACGGAGAGAGCTAACTACTCTTAGCAACAAAGACTAATTATGTGTTTTCTGCATTTAATTCATTGCAAAAAAAAGGTACATGTTCACAGCTACAGGTCGTAATTTTTGAATTAAAGCGCAACAAACGATTTAGGTTTTAGTGAAGGATTTAGTGTGCAAGTTTTAGCAGGATTTGTCCACACTGCAGGCATATCGGATGAAAGGAGGAGGCTGATGTTTACCCTCATCAGAAATGTTTGTCTTGTGTTTATATGTGCTTTTGTTGTGCTGAGGTGTTTTTTTATATCTCAAACTGTACCCTGTCAATGATAAAGTGTGAAATAGGCTTTTTTTCCCCCTCTCCCTCCCCAACGTGGCTCCTTTTTTTTCCACAGAAATAAAGTCAGTGCCCTAAGGAAACCGCCTCACGGCAGGGCCCCTGGCAGCCGAAAGAATGCACCTAACGGTATGCGTTCTTTGGCAAGCATGGCCTCAGTCAAATCGTTCCCCTGTCCACCCCCCATGTATGTGATGTATGGTTTGTACTGAAACTGAAATCTTGATTACAATGTAAATGTAGTTAACAATAAAGATTGATTGATTGATTGATTGATTGGTTGATTGATTGATTGATTGAGTTAAGAGAGCCCTGACTTTTAAAACTAAGCCTTTTTAGCATAACAATCTATTGCATTCAAATTTGCCTGGAAGAGAAACAGAACAGACAAGTTGAACTTCTTATAGGTTCAAAAACCAAACAGATTAGCCTATTTTTGTGGTGCTAACTCTGTTTAGCAATATAAGCTAAAAGCAGCCTAGGATCATCTGTTATTTTAATGAAACACAAAGGGAAAATATGAGAAAATGCACATTCTTGTTACTCTTAATTAAAGAAAATAGGGAAAAAAACTGATGTAAAAACCACACCGTAGGAAAAGGAGTAGCCTATATACAAGAATTTAATCCTGAAATCTATTATACTTTTAGTATATTGGTAAAATGCAGGCATAAATAAACTGGTTTTCTTTGTTTGCCTTTGGCATGCATTTGAGATCGAGGTAAATCTCGGTTTTAACAAGATTAAAGTATTTTATATTCAATTTCAAAGAAAGTGTTAAAGAGAGCTGACCCAGATCTTTGGATTACAGTGTTTAGTCTTATTTTACTTCTAAGGAGCCCAAGGTTTAACTTCTGAGTTATAATATTCTCATCATGTCCACCTGATATGATACACCTGTGTAAGATTTTAGCCATTTTGATAGGAAATAAATGTGAGGGAATTGCTTTTTTTTCCTAATTTGAACAATTGTTGAATCTGAGAGCAGTTATGACTAAAATATTGGAAACCCCACTGGCTCAATAGGGTGTCCTGATTATCCCACATGATGGTGGAATATTTCCTCAGTATTACACCAAGCTGTCAGCAGACATTCATCTGATAAAGTCTGCTGATGAGCGCTTGGCCAACTGGCAAAAATACATTTTTACATTAAAAAGCAGGAACTTATTTTAGCCGCATATAGTTATAGTTTCTTTTTACAGAGGGAATTGTTTAGATGTAAAAATAACAGCTTTCTATTCCTCGTGGTGCTGGCATGAGGCTCCTGGAGCGGCTCTCCAGGGTCCCGCCCCTTTCCTCCGCGGCTCTCCGGCGCAGCAGACCAGCAGCTCTGGCGGCGCGCTCAGACCAGCCGGACCTGCACACAACCACTGGACGCGCTGCTGTTTTTATTTATACTTTTTTATTCTTTTTTAATTTCTTTATTTGGCTTTCTCCTTCCCAGGTGAGTGTCAGATTTTTTTTAATGTCTACTTTATTGCCTCATTTTAAGGTAAATGTGAACTCAGATGAACTTCATTGCTTATGCGTCTGTAAAGCCTGATTCATTCACTCACTTTTGGTGCTGAAATCCTATTTTCTCTAATTCATTGATGCATAAATATATTTCTTTCTGGATATGTCTTAAACTTGTGTTTAAATTCACATTTAAAATACCTGATTTCACTGCTTTGGTATGTTGGGATTAATTATTAGACCCCCTCCATATCACAAACCCAACAGATTAGGTTTAGGTTTAGATAAAGCAGTTTTATATTAAAACATGGCTGTTAATGTTCAATCGGTCTCACTTTCCAAGATTTAACTAAACCTGCTGGCATATTTATATGTAACAGAAGCAGCAATATGTCATCTTTATTGCCAAACTGGGGGGAAGTATACAGCAGAGCTTTGGTTGTGCCTTGTAATTACACAACTTGTGAAACATAAGCCATCAATTTCCCGCCGGTATATCTGAATGACATTACTCTGAGTTAAAGTGTCTGGTTTAAGTGTTTTGATTATGGAAACAACAAATCCAACAATGGTCATCTGACCCTATAGACCTCTATCTGAAACAGCACAGATGCTCACTGAACCCTGCTCTAAACAAACATGCAGAGATCAATATAAACCCTGTCTGATGTAATGATGACTACATAAAATCCAATAATAAATCATGCAGGGAGGAATCCAAACCTCCTTGCTGGAGATCCGTGTCCTGCCTGACTTTTTCATGTTTAGCTGGCTCTATAATTCCCGTAATCTCCCCTGGTAGGCGTCCACTTTGTCTTACTTGAGCACATGCTTTGATACCGCCAACATGGTCTCTTCCAGGATGCAGAAGCAGATGGTTAGCACATGTATGTAATATGTTTCCAATCTTACAACCATGATTTACACTAATTGTACAGTGCTTGTTGATGACATAAACAAGTACAGCAAGGCATTTCCTGTGCTATTTTCTGTTTTTCCACCTGAGGTCCTAACATTCCTCTGAGGGGGGAATCCTCATATAAAGCCAGCCAACGTGAAAACAGTCCTTCATGAACCCTGGCTGGTGTGTTAGTTTTCACACGGCAGCACTCTACTGGGATTTTTTTCTTTCTTTCTTTGGCCACACAACGTGATGTTTGGAAACCTTTGACATCACTCGTTGCCGTCAGCAAATGGTCACAGTTCAGTCATTTGTCAACAACCTGCAACCCCCCTGTTAACGGCTGCAACGTGTTTTTAAAGGATTCAAACTCACATTTTGGTCCTGACAGATATTGAGGCACCAAAACTGACACTTAAAACATTGTACTACTGTATAATGTCATAAAATCAACCAATATAAGGGTATAAACCAGAAATAAGCAATAATTGATTTTTCCTTGTTTTTAAAACAGACAAGTAATTAAAGCATATTAAAGAGGACATTTTATATTGGAATCGGTTGAATGTGTGGCAGATTAATAACTGTGCATTATCTGCATGAACAGGGGGTAGTACTGGTGCCTCGAGCAGACAGTTAGCAACCAGACCAGAAATGTGAATCCGACTGTTCTTTGTGAGTGTAATGTTTCTTAAGTAAGAAACTGCTTTCTTTAAAACTGATCCATTAATACTAACAATACACTAGAAAAGGTAACAGTAAACTAGATCCACAGTTGGCTCTGTCTAGGAAATAAACAGCAAAGCAGACGAGCTCTGAGCTGGTTTTCATGCCAAAAGGGATGAAAAGATATCACATAAAGTTAGGCGTTGGTATAACAAATACTGCAAAACTGGAGGATAGACATAGAATGAAGTAGAAGGATAAGAAGTAGACCCTATGTCCTCCAGCAGCCTAAGTCTATAGCAGCATAGCTATGGAAAAGTAGCTCCTGATAACCTGAGCCATTTTGACGAACTAAAACTGGTTGTTGGTTCCACAGGAGAGGAGCCTGATTGAAAAGCCTGTTCCCATTCAACTTTTAAAGATTTTAGGAATCACTAATCCTGTAGATTGAGAGCGATTTGCTCCTGTTAGAACAAGGTACAATCAGATCTCTGATACAAGATGGAGATAAGTTATTTAGAGCTTTATACATGATTTGACAGGAAACCAATGAAAGAAGCTGAAATAGGAGAAATGTATATGTGTGAGAAATTTTCATCAGAACTGTGGCTGCAGCATTTTGGATAAGCTGAAGGATTTTATCTACAGATCAGCATTTAGGGCTAACATGATTCTAAATTTACTGTAGACTGGCTCATATAGCTTTAGTGGTGCAACCGACAGTTGTTGATCACTACAGTGTGGTGCAGTGAAACCCTTACAAGTTCTGTACGACAGATTATGTGGATACAATTGAGACTTGTACACAATCCACTAACAAAATTACTTACTTTGTCTGATAAGTCTGGTTACTGATAATTTATTCAGTTTTTTTTTAATAGTTCTATTTTATTATCCAAAGATTTCTAGCAATATTGAGTTTACTTGCAACCAGGAGGATTTCAGAAACAAAAGATGTCAAGACAAATACAACCTTGCCGCAGATTTGTGTAGTCAACATGGATTAAAAGACATCCAAGATTTACTGAACATTTTAGACTTTACTTGAAAAGTTCAATGTTCCTCTTCAAACAAATTGGAGTTGTTCTGCTAACATAAGTTTGAAATGATTGTATCAGAAGTTTAGTGGCCAACTAAAAATAAATCTGATAGAAAAAAGAGGATTTAAATATTACTTTCCACATTTAGATGAATTTTCTAAGAAAAAATGATCACAATTTGATATTTCCTGAGGTTCCCCTAAGTATTGCAGAAAGTTGTTTAAGAAATCAAACAATACCTTTTTCAGCACTCTTCAGGATTTTTACATTTTCTTGATACTGCAAGTTATTTTAAATTTTGTTTGGATTTTATGTCCCCACAGCATGATGCTGCTACTGCCATGTTTCATAATGGTATTTCTTCATACTTACATACCTTCTAAAGGTGATCATTTACACTGTATTTCATTAGGTTTATCTGTGTAAAAGGCTCCATACCTCTGTGGTATAGCAAGCTAAGTTTAAATCTTTGATCCCAGGTTCGAGACCTGGATGTGTCAGAGGGGACTCTGCCAAGTCTGTGTGAAAGTTGTAATGCTTTGCTGAGGCGTCTGAGTGGCAGCTGAAAGAACTCAGTCATTCAGTCATTTCTTTTTCTTCTTCCTGGGGCCCAGAGCATATCCTAATGGAAATTTAAGAGTTTGAAATTATCACTTTTTAAAAAAGATTACTTGGCTTTATTTACAGTAGGCAGACAGCTGAATCAAACATAAGCGTTTGAGCAACCAGCTCTACCAGTACGCCATGTGTTCCCCTAAACTTTCCTTAATATCTGAACAGGAGAGATAACTAAAACCCTAGAACTGTAACATGCAAGAAAGAATGAAAAATAAGGCAAGGAAAAATAGGGCTGCCAGCTCCAGCAAGCACAGGAATTAAAGCAGTACAGGGTTTGGATACTTTTTGGAGGCATGTGAGCGTTTTTTCGGCTGAGGAGGAAGTGTAGCCCTGTTTATCTTGGATTCAGACCGAGTTAGAATGGTGAAAATAGGAACTTAAGTGAGAGTGAAGTTGTGGCCCTGAAAAGCATAGCCTTATCGTGTATGTTTGTTCACCTGGTTAGTGAGTAACAGAGGAGGGGGAGGGAGCGGAGGACCTGCATTAGATTATGAAAACATTAGCAAACCTAGGTGGAAAACCTCCAGAGATACATATGTGTTTTCATTGAAGAAGTTAGAAGAAATACTGAAGGCTTATTTAATGGTAAAGGAGGGCAAAGAGAGAGAGAGTGAATGAATTTGATATAGAGACCAGAAAGATCCCAAACATGGTTTCAATCTGTTCTGATGGTGGCGGAGGGTCGCACTCCACTGAATGATGCTCTGCTCAGGAATGTCTTCATGCAAACTCAGCACACACGGCTCCTTTTAGACTGTGGTTACTCTGGTTTACTTCTAACTAAACCATCTCAAGTAGACCATATGACACAGGAACGTTGGTCTGGGTCTCTGAAATAAGAGCTTATAAATAAGAGATAAATAAGAGATAAATAAGAGAGAAAAACCGGACAACAGCTTTTTGTTTTTTGATCTTTAGATTACTTCTTTACTTCATTTACATTAATCTATTTTTTTTGCTTTTAGATATAAAGATAAACTTGAAATATGTGTTAGTTTCAAAATTTGACTAGCTTTTTCAACACAAGACTGAGGAAAATTAATATCTATCCTTTTTGTTTCCTTGTTGGACAACTGATCAACAGCAGTGAAAATATACAAGTTTTAAGAAAGATCTTCTGATTCCCTGCTTCATCAAATCTGTCCTATATGTTGGTTTCTCTGAAAAAAGACCACAGTCTCATTCCGCCACTGCCATGCTTAATAATGTGTTAATCAGTATTGGAAAAGACAAATCTTCATTTTTTTTTTCTTCATTTTTTGATCAGTATTGGATAACTAAAAAAAAAAAAAAGGGAAAAATCTTCATTTTTTGATTAGTATTGGATAACTAAAAAAAAAAAAAGGAAAAATCTTCATTTTTTCAACTGGGTTAAATTTGAAGTGGTCAAGAAAAATAATTAGTTTCTTATTTTATAGTTTGTATCTGTTTGTTGTTATGTTATTAATAAAAAATAAATAAATAAAAAAAAACGTGACCCAATATCATGTCAAAAAAATTCACATTATGTTTTCATTCAGTGTTTATGTCTGTCAGCAACAAAATAAATAAAGAAAGTAGAAAAACTTTGCCAGCTTGTGATAGTTTGACTTTAAGTCTAAAATGTAAAGTTTTAATTTTCTCATCTTTAAAATTATTTACATTTAGACTTTTTTCCTATTCAGTCGGATTTTCCTTGTTTTGTGCAAACCCTGTTCTTTAAACCAACAACGTTATTCAAGTAGGTTCGATCTTTGAGTGTTTGTCCTCTGACAGAAACCTGTA